GCCAATATAAATGAAACATTAAAGAGTTTTTTTGATAGATTACAGTAGCATAAGTTTCAGAAAAAATATTTAGTTAATAATGAAAGTTTAGGTTTAAGTTGCTTAATAATTTCTAAATCTGGTCTATTCTGTATCATAGAAATATTTATATTAGAAAAAGAAATATTTTATTCTCAGTAATACATATAGAAACATGTTTACATAGTCGTCGGTACACATAAATGATAAAATACATCACATTTTACATACATTAACATACAGCATACCCGTATAAAATTTAAAATAAAATAGGATTTTAAAAAATCATGGTTGGTAATAGTATTAAAAAATATATAAAAAAATACAATATTAAAAATATTAGGTGACATGTTTCACCATGTATACTACTTGGAATACAAGTTAGCTGTTTGCTAAGTCTTCCCATAATTCTCGAAATTTCTCCTTTCCATTTAAAACAGACAAATGACCCGTTGCAAAATCAGGATGCATTTCCATAAATTCGAATAATAAATTAAGATGTTCCTCTCTCAATCTAAACGACATTATGTCGATATTCACTAACAGCACCGATATAATTAAAAAATTAATTTAAAATATGCCAAAAATTCACTAACAGCACCGATATAATTAAAAAATTAATTTAAAATCTGCCAAAAATTCACGAAAACTTGATGCAGGACATATACCACACAAAACACCACATATCACTTACACAAAATTGCAAGATTTTAAGTTAAAAATCGATTCTCGACATCTAAAGATGACATTTAAGATCGATATATATCCCTTCTCGATATCCGAGATAGGAATAGTAAAATCTTTCTCGTTACAACACGTGCCGAGTACGAAACATGAGAATCCCACTGCAGACCAATATTAGGCAATCCACGACCTGTCAAAAAAATCCAATATGGCGCTTGGAAGGCAGACAAGGTTGTGTGCATTGTTTGTGTTGGATTGTTTTAATAAATTCTGAGTGTATTTGACTTAAACTTATTTGAATAGTGAATTATAATTTATACTGTACCCATTGCAAGTGCTTTTGACAATTTACCGGTGAGAAAATGCCTACAACGTGCCTAGTTGTGGGCTGTGGAAGTCGTGGCGATCGAGATCCTTAAAGTTTTTATCGTGTCCCAAGGGTCTTGAATTCCAAACACTACCCACATTTAAATGACTTATCAATTAAGCGACGTAAAACGTGGATAGCTGCTATAAAAAGAGACGGTTTAACTGAAGCTATTCTAGGGAATCAGAGAGTTTGCAGCAAGCATTTTATTACAGGTAAAATATTTTTTTACATAAGTACTTACTGGGACTGTAACTAGATGTTTGTTTCATCTGGTTGATAGCGTAAATATTGAGTTAAAAAAACAAAAAATATCTGTATACATGTAAAAGGAGAAATATAAGTGTAATAATAGATGCACCATGAACCATAACATTATTTCTAGGAAAACCGAGCTCTATGGAAGAGAGTAATCATCCAGACTGGTCTTCTTCCCAGAAGATGGGTCATGTGTCTCAGCCCATTTCAAAAACGAAATCTGATGTTGAGAGAAAACTCAGATTTGATAAAAGAAGGAAAAGAAATAACTAAATTGAAAATGAACCTGAGGTAAACTTTTACTTTTGTATTACAAATGTTTAAAGACATATCAATATACTTGTGCTTTGTGCATTTTATTTTGAATTCAACAACCATATTTTTATGGCGAAAATTTTGTTTTGATTAACAAGCTTTTCGACGAAAAATTTTGAGTTGTGTTTTGTATCTTGTGAATCCATTTTAATTGCGGGCAAATTATTGAGTTTTTAACAATCAACTTACGACATCCAAAGGACATTTTGTCTCCATAATTATTAAATTTTTAGTAAATGTTCGACACTATTTTCTTTATTGTTGTACAATAAACGTCGTCTTTTAATATTTTCTTTCTTATTATTATGGAGTGACCTCAATATAGATAATATTCATATTTATGCTTCAGATTATATTATTTAAAAATTCAAAGATAAGTCCACATTCACACAAAAAAAACCCTCAGGGTATTGAATAGTATGCGTTGTATCTACCGAAAATATTTGTGTCCATCTTTATGTGGTGCCTAGTACATATTTACGTAAATTTTAACACACATGAATAAATTTGTGTGAAATACAATACGCAACGAAAAAATGTATTAATGTGGACCTGGCTTTATACAGCGTATGCAATAAAGTTGGATTCATATGAGAATTGTATTTATTATTACGATATGCATATATATAAATTATTAATTTTGTATTAGAAAATAAGAAACATAAATTAAAAATCATACAATTTAATGTTGTAATTGATAGATTTACTTATTTAACTTTCTAAAAATAATAGAAATTTACACAATAGTAATGACTGTAATGAGGAGAAATAATATTTGTATTTGTTACAGGATCCACTTGAAACTGAAGTTGATTGTATGGAAGAGTTAAGCTACGGTTTGTTAGAACAGTACGCGTCGCAAAACTCACAGTCTGCTGAGCGCCGCGCACGTCCGTTGAAATCTAACAATGTTAATTCTATGGGAATGGTTTGTTAGAGTCAGCGCAGTTAAGCAGACAGTGGACAGACATCAGTGTACGTCGACTGTTTACGTCGAAATCAATTTGAGTTTGATTTGGACGCACTCGTTGAGCAGAGCATACAGTAGACTGTCAAATGAAATGAGGTTAGAATAATTTGTGTCAATAAAAATAATAAATATGTCGTCAAAGTTTTCTTCAGAAGAGGATGAAATATTGATTGATATAGTGCGAGAACATCCTGCACTTTATCAAGTAAAAAGTAGAAGTATTAAAGACAATGTGGTTAAAAATAATATTTGGAAAAAAATATCGGAAACACTGGGAAAAAATGGTAAGTACCTATCTATACATAATTTTAAAGATGAAAAGGATAAATGTGTCATGTACAAAAAGGATTTAAAGTTCTTCAAATGGAATATTTACGATAGATGGCTCATGACACCTGCTTCTAGGAATCTCAGTCATATTAAAATTGGAAATTAAAACTATCACAAAAGAAAAGTACAGCAGGGTATTTCATTGGGAAAGGAATATACGTTAACGGTGGATGGAGGCCACCAATGTGCTTCCAAATAACCCTTACTTAATTTCACCGTTTATTACCAAAATTTGTCTATTTCTTTTTTGACTCCTAACTTGCTAACCACCTTCTATGTGTTTTTTATACTTGGCACAGGTATTATCCATAACTTGACCAAATCAACAAGTTATCAACAAGAAACGAAATCCAGGTTCGTCTTTACAAAAATAATAAAAAAATTTATTCATCCTTAAAACAACACTGTATTAAATTTGGTTCCATGTGTGCCGAATGTCAAAAACATATGAATTAAGAGGAAATAGGTAAAATTGGTTATAAATAGTAAAAGTATTATTAAGTAGGTATAGGTTTTTTGGAAGCACCTAAATCTGCAGTTACTGTAAGTCCCTTTCCCAGTGAAATACCCTGCATGGGATATTTTAAGTATATCAGGTGATAAAATCATTTTTTTTTAAAAATGTAACATGACGCATTCATCCACTTGCGTCTTCAAATCAATAAAAAACAAATTGACGAAAGTCATATATTATTATTAAAAAAATAATTATCACATAAGTAATGTGTTTGGAACAAAAATTTTATTATAACATTATTCAATACGTGAAACATGTTTGTCTTGCCATTGCACAGATCCCTCAATACTGTTAAAGTATGTTTTAAAATTATCCCTGACCGTACAAGCTTCAAACGAAGATCTTCTATCAATTGTAGGTTTTAGCGGTATCAGGCGAGCTGTTTGGATTCTCATTTGGATATAAAATTTTTGAATTCCGAAGCATATTATGGAATATGCATGCTGAAACAATTAAATTATCAGCAACTTCTGGCGAAACTGCTATGGGAGTATAAAATACTCTAAAATATTGGCACAATATGCCAAATGCATTTTCTGAAGTTCTACGTGCTCTGCAGTGTCTGTAATTGTAAATGGCTTTTGTCTGATCATGTATTGTTTGTTTTTGAGGATATGGTTTCATCATATTTGTAGTTAGACTAAATGCCTCATCTCCTAATACTACATTCGGAAGCACTATATTTGTATCAGGTATAGCACTTGAAGGAGGAATATTAAAACTGCCATCAATCATCTGCTGTCTTATAGCTGATTTCAAAAATATACCTGCATCTCCCTCTCGACCATAAGATCCTACATCAATGGCTACAAATCTGTATCTAGCATCAACAACTGCTAAAAGAACTACAGAATGAAAATTTTTGTAATTGAAAAAAAGTGATCCTGCATTATCAGGACACCGGATTCTTATATGCTTCCCATCTATTGACGCACAGCAATTTGGGTAATTCCACAGATAAAAATAATCTTGCACATTTCTTTTCATCTGTTGTTCGCTTGGTTTGCAAATGTATACATGAAGCATACGTTTCTTAATACTTTTAAGCACTTCCCTTAAAAAAACGCTAATCCAGCTATGGTGAATTCGGTACTGGAATGCCAAAGATCTAAATGACTCACCAGTGGCCATGTATCTGCAAAAATAAAATAAAAAATATCAAATAAATCCAAACAATGTATTAAAAATCTGCATATGTGTTTGACTGTTATGAAACTAGCCTATAGGCCCCAACTAATTTATCAAATTTCACATCTAAAAATTTAAAAAATTCTTAAGGAAAAGTGGGCCCTACTTTTTTGTGGATCACGGATATATGTATCTATCATTTGGTGAAAATCTCAAGAATACATATGGAAATTTCAAATATTTTAAAAATGGTTTCTGGTGCTCCTACAATTACTGTGAGACAAGACTTTCTAATGTCTGGTGTCTCGTAAATGTTAGTTACAAAAATAATTATTGTATTAGAAAATCTTAATGATGAAATCGAACTTTGTACATATATGTATTATGTTTTATAGTAGATATTTGAATTTTAGATGAAGATTGTAAAAGCAGGTGGAAAAGCATAAGAGATTATTATCAGCGTAGAAGAAAAGAATATTTGAAAGGGACAACGACTGGTTCGGCAAAAGGGGATTGTGCAAATAATTTTTTTAAGAAATTTGAGAATCTCCGATTTTTGGATGGTACCTCAATTGTGGAAAGAAAGTATGTAATATTTTTTTTTTTTTTTTGATACATAATATCTGTGTAATTATTCAATATTTTCTATAAATTTCATTACTGTTTCAGAACCATCAGTAACATCCAAATTTGTAGTGACGACAGTCAGGACACTCAACAAAAAACACAAATACCTGACGAGGAGATAGAAATCGATGAAAATGTATATTTTCTTGATGATAACGAAATTAGAGAAAATGAGGATGTCGAACGCTCAAATATAAATGAGTTTGAAGTTCCGGCCATAAGTCGCAAAATTCCCAACAAGGAACCCCCACAATCCGAGAATCCTATTAAGAAAAAAAGGGTTGTTTCCAAAGAAAAAAATACATTACTACTAGACGAAATAAAAAAAGGTCGAGCAGAACGAACAAATATTCTTCGAGAGCTTGTGAATAACACACAACCACAAAAGCAGCAGTCAGAACTGGAATTGGGAGATCCTGCAATAAGTATGTTTTTTAAAAGTATAGCTGCCACAGTTTCTGGATTTATTGCCATTCACAAGGCTAAAATCAAAGCCGAAATTATGAAAATAGTTTCAGACTATGAAATAAAAGAATCTGAACTACAGGCAAGTACATCTACGGGACAAGTGCACAGTGAATGGGTAGAAGCTTCAAATTATACCAGATTTCCACCAACTACATCGTCTAGATGTGACCGTTCTTTAGTGGACAATATATATATTAGTTCTGAAGAAACAAGTGTGCGCTCTCAAAGTGCAAATTCCTACATTCATTCGCCAGATTCATATGACAGCAACTAACATTTTTAAATAATTTTTTCGAATAAATATTTTTTTCTAAATTTGTATGTGTTTATCTGATTTAATTTAATAATATTTAAAAAATGATCTACTGAAGTATTAACAAAAAAGAAATCCGGGTCTGTGATTTATAAATTAGTCCATCCTTAAAATAACACATGATTTGTATGAATTTGTAAGTTGTTTCCATACTTTAAAAGAGACCAATAAAGTAAATCTAATGATGTGATTTTTTCGAGAATTTTTTTCACAGACGATTTAACTATTATAATTTTATGGCCTCATTGTTATTTTTGAGCATTTTGGGGATACAAAACGGAAACGGACGGGCTCTTATTAATTTTTTACATTGATCTTATTTAACAGTTACATATTATGTTGGTACTTGTACCACTAGATAATATTTCATGCCTGTATTTAGAATCAAATATTATCTTTCGAACACACAGTACCTATAATAATTTTTAAATCACTACTTAGTAGATTTCTAGTCTGGTTCCATTTTGTTTCACTAAAAAGCCCAAAAAATAAAAATTTGGTCTTAGAATTTTAGTAATCTAACCGACGACGGAAAATAAAATACATCATTAAAGTAATTTTTGTGTTCTTTACAAATATGAAAACACTTATTAGAAATTCAGATGCATGGGTGAAATATTTTTTGTAGAAACGGGCCTGGTTTTCGCTTTCAGTTAATACCTTAGTAGAAGAGCAGTTGGTAGATTTAAAGATACGTGTTCTAAATGTCAAAAATATACACTGGGTGGTTGGTAAGTTATTAGTAAAGAAATAAATAAGCTAAATTGATGAAATTAATGGATTTCATCAATTTAGCGAGTACGAGTTATTTGATTAGTATTTTTTTATTATCAATTAATTTTTCATAGCAAAATATTACATTTGGAAGCACCTCAGCCTCCATATATAAGGTATAATACTTTCACAATGAAACATCCTGTAAAATACAATTTTTTTTTGTATTTCGTATAAATACGACACTTACCTCAAAGTAATGCACAGTTTTTCTTCAGGAGAAATTGGATGTTGCCGTCTATTGTAGGGTTTCTTTGTGATATCTTCCCTCACATATGATAAAACTGTTTGAAATAATTCAGTAGAAAGTCGGAAATATGCCCGAAAATGTTGTTCATTTCCAAACAACCTTCTCTCTACAGTAACATTATATGCTCCCTCCGTAGCTCGGCGAGAAAACATATCATCCACGGCTTTATTTCGCTGAGTACTATTTAAAAACATTAACAATTCTTCTTCATCTTCTTCTTCCATTATAATAATCGTTACTAACGAATTGTTTAATTCATGTAAACTCATTTTCACCTGCATACATCAGCAGAACAAATTGAACTGATATATAATTCTTAACAAACCACTTCCACTTAAACTGACGTGAGTCGAACGCGACAGATTCTGCTGTATGCGTACGTCGTGCGACGCGCACCATCCTAACAGACCGTAGCTTTAGGTGATGGAATTGCTTCACAGACTGATTTAACAATGGAAACGTTGGCTATACAGTTTGAACAGTTGAGTTTTGCCAGCAAAAAAATTTCAGTTTTAGAGAAAAAAATAGAAAATACCGCCTTGGGACTTGTGGATAATACTAATAATATTCGCAAATGGAAATATACAGATTTTCAGTTTAAGTTTGTTGAAATTATTTTTTGCAACATTCACAATATACCATTCTGTCTGAAGATGCCCCTAGTTGTGGCCATTATTCATTCACTAGTAGGTCCACTTCATTCATTGTAAAAGATTCATGATTTTCTCTCATAAAATCCTTATATTTTTTAGCAGCTACATGTTCATGTTCTAATACCCAATTTGTGGCTTTAGTACTAAACAATACTTTTGTTGGATAACAAATACCTTTTATAAGAAATAGAGATGGGGTTTGTTTATTTGTCCTACATACGGCTTTACATTTAGACGCAGTTATTCTACCTGCTCTCTGTTTATACCAATTTTCGTTCGTATGTTGACTTCTAGTCTTTAGTTCTATCTTTGTTAATTGATCTTTAGTTAAAATTAATGAAATCGTGTTTTATATTTTCATCAAGTCTTCATATGTTTTGACCTCATACTGTATATCGTATATCACCGCAGGATAGATTAAAGCTTAAGTTTAAAATTTTGTGTTTTTCTATGTATCGGTTCATGAGTTATACAGACACAGACAGACTTTCGCGAACTTAGTCAAAACGGATTCAGGGGACCCCAAAACGTATAAATTTGTCAAAAACTAGAGGTTGAAAAAGATAATCTCCTTTTTTGAAGTCTGATAAAAATATAGTTACCTTTCTCAACTTCTCTCTGAAATCATTGTCCAGCTTTCAAGAATAGCTGTTCTGAAGGGACATATTACACAAATTACCTAATTAGAAACGTTTTATAATAAATAATTGTTTTTATTTAGAAAATCTATACCTTAAACACTATAAAACAAAAATAATACTCTTTAGTACCTAAAAAAATTTATCTAAGTAAGAATGTTTTGTAACAAACAACATTCATTCTTAGCAAGGCAGTGTACCTTATGTTGTAACGCTAAAAAAACCCCTTAAATAATGACGGTTGTTGACTGTCTTGTCGATTGTCATGTGTCTTTTTTTTTGTGTCGTAGATTGTTATGTTAAAAGTGAATCTGGTTCAATAAATATTAATCACAGGAATATGATTGTGTTTTAATTAATATAAGAAGAATAGCAGACAAAAGAAATATCCAACAGCCAAAAGTTAAAACCTTAAACACTAAAACAAAAATAATTCTCTTCAATACCTGACAAAAAATAATCTAAGAATGTTTTATAACAAATAACATTCTTAGCAAGGCAGTGTATGTTAAACTAAAACAAAAATAATACTTCTAGTACCTAACGAAAAAATTATCCAAATAAGAATTTTTTATAACAAATGGCAAATACCTAGATTTTTTAAATTAATTGTTCGAGGTCATTAAAACGATCTTGGCGAGCCATTTTTCTTTATGTCCAATTTCAGCTTTAGAAGTTGTCTCTTCTTTTTTTGGAAAAAGAACTGTCAGCAAGCTGTTCTCTTTCAGGCAAGTCTACATTTGATGAAGTCATTAATAACATTATAGTACTCCCAGTGCCTTTTTCTGTTTCCAGATGTTTGGTTATGTAGTACTATAGACTTGTAAGTTCGCTTTAAACTTTTCCATTTGGTGTCACATTGTTTTTGATCCAATATTCTTTTTTAATTCCTTATTACAGGAACTTGCAATTCTCTTCGATACATTTTTAATTTCGATGTTAAAATTTTTGAACTCTTTTTTAATTTCACTAATGAGAAGAAGAGTGGCTTCTCTGGTCCAAATTTTGATGTCGTCCCTGGGGCAGCTGTAGTAGGATTTGGTTGATTTTCATCAAGATTGTCACCTTCTATTTCTTCTTTAAGTTCTTCGTCGGCTGTTTCAAGGCTTGTAGTTGGAGATACCAATATAAACTGTTCTTGAATTTCTTTTGTAAGTGGAACATGTACTAATTCTTGTGCTGAAAGAACAAATCTAGTTAAAGAAAACAAACAATAATTTTGTAATAATCTATTTATGTTCAAAATAGAAACATTTATGCCTACATAATATAAATTTCTAATGGAATGGGTGGTATATTACAAAATGTTTGGTAGAATAAAACGTACTTCCACTATTTTGAAGTAAAATGTTGTTTTCTTGAATTATTTCCCTTCCGTTTTCGGTAACAACGGGTGAAACATTAATTAGATATAACTACTGCTGAAGCAGGAATTAGCACTACTGAGAAACATGTCTTAAAAATACTAAATAAAACTCTGGAAACTCCTGTTGCAAGAGATAATGCTACACAAAATAGTTCTACTGAAGAACTTGTCTTAAAAACACCAAATAAAATTCCTCTAATATACCAAATAACAATACTAAAGAAGATGTCTTGAAAATTCCGCTATTGAAGAACATGTCTTAAAAATGGTTATTAAAATTCCAGAAACTCCTGCTGCAACAGTTAATGATACACAAAAAACAGTACCGAAGAGCATATCTTAAATACGCCAAATAAAATTACAGAAACTCTTGCGGCAGTAAATAATGATATAAAGAATAACACTACTAAAGAACATGCCTTAAAAACGCCAAGTAAATTTTTGAAAACATCTCCTGCATTAGTTAATGATACGAAAAACAACACTATTGAAGAAGATGTCTTAAAAACGCCAAATAAATTTGTTCAAATATCGAAAGAGAAAACATCTGATAATAAATTGTCATAATATAAATCGTTAGAAATAGTAACGGAAATCTGTGAAAGTGATCATCCAGAAACATTTGAGGTTGATCACCAAACGCCTGAAAAGAATATTCCTGAATACGAATCACCTGAAAAAGTAAAGGACATTTCTGATGGCGCGTCTCCAATTACTCCTTTTAGCAAACTTTTGGTGTATCTCATGCCAGTGAGTCAAGCAGAGAGTTCAGGAAAAAGGGAAAAGTTGCCTAGTGCAATGAAACAAAGTTTTACGAAAAAGAGAAAAATAAAAAAGTTATTACTAATAAAGGAAAAAAGCATTAGGGACAAAAAACTATGATACAAATAAAGAAAGAATAAAATTTCTCTGCGCGAAGATGATTTATTTAGCGAAACGAAGGAGGATTTAGAGAAAAACATTGGTTGTGATTATTGCCCAAATTGTTTCCAATTAAGGTGTACCGAATTTAGCGATAATATATATGAAGAGGTTTCTTCGAAGGAATACAAGTGTGATTTATGTAAAAGACTGTAATACTTAATAATTAAGAGTTACCTAATTCTTACCTCAAACTTTCCTTAAACATATATTTTTTATTTTGCTTTATTTTTATGTTGCTTTCTGTGTAAAAAGGAAAATGTGGAAAAATCAGAAAATCTCAAATCCGATTTTAATGAAATAATTTTTTTAAATAAATCTAAAAAATGGGCTTTAACTAGTAACGTGACCACAAATGT